TTCGCTGCACTTCACGGCCCACATTCCAGTCCATGGCAAAGCTTGCAGCACAGCGCCCATGCTGGCGACTGAAATTACTGCATCATTTCTTGTAAATGCCCCACTTCTTGGTTGGATCGTTGTTTATACTAAGAGGCTGGTCACATTCACGTTTATCTCGCCAGGCCATGGGCTGTCATGAACTTCGGCATCTGGAGGTGTAGAATACGTGTGGGAGTATGTGTGTGAGCGCAAGGTTACTGAGATAAGGAAATAAGTTTATTATGATGGTTATTATCCATTATCCGATTTTAATAAGGTACACATCGCACAGTCTCCAAACTACAGATTGATAATACAGATTCTATCACTATTATCATTATCATCATCATAATATTAGCATGCAACAATAAAACCACCGTGTTGTGCTTTAGTGTTCTGTTCTGTTTTGGGTAAATATCACAGAAAAATGTTATAATGTGACATTTTCTGCAAATATGTATACGTTTGCAATAAGCACACCGGCTGTAGTGTGTGGAATTGTACCGTGCTAAACAAACAAACAAACAATGAACACGACAGTAGCTTAAGAATCTTGTCATTCAAGTATGAAGGTCGGTGCAGACGTCCTGCAATCCACTGCAATCAACCTAGATATTAACTTCCTTCTTACTCTCAGCAGCATGATTTCTCGGAAACGGGTAGGCTGACAACTAGGGCCAGCAACGCATGCGCGGATGCGCTGCACAAAATATCTATCTTAATTTAATTGATATTTTTATCCTTTGATAAGTCTTCAAATCAGTATTTCATAGACGGGGAGATAATCTGCAAGTATGATGATCTGCACCTGATCAGTTGTCTACAGTCCAGGTCATATTGTTGTTAAATTGCTAAATTGTTGTTTACTGCATGTGATTTTTCTGCTCTATTCACGATATGCACACTTCATTTGACAAAAAAGTCGTGAACAAACTCGAAATAATCAAACCTGGAAAGGTGTAATCAAATACAGGTTGTTTTCTTTCACCCCACACACTGCATTCAAAGTTGACGTGAGACTTTTTTTTGGGTGGAGACTTGTGCAGTGCCCCGCCTCCTTTCGGGAAATACCCACACGAAACATAAGGTATATAACTGTAGCAGCAGTTGTCACTTCACTTCACTTCAAGGAGGTTCTCTAAGTGGATAACATAAAGAAAGAAAAGAAGCTCGTCTGCAACAAACCTAAACCAGTCGGACTATTGTTTTGCATTTTTCTCTTACGGATCATACTAAAACAAAGTCTGTAAGTGAAATGCTATTTATTTAACACGCCTACTTGCATGGAATGCCTAGTATTTAAACTATAGGTTTAGAATATAAATAGTATACATCTTCAATGCACGCGCAGGACGATAGTTGTAGAATCAGTCTGTCCATAAATAACGTGGTAATTTTTTTATTTTGCGGATGGTAAAGTTTGTGTGATTTTTGCTCGCTTTGCGTCCGATCGGACTGTAGTTACAGGCGGAAAACAGTTGAACAAGTAAATTTTTAGCAGTGCAGGAGGAGGTGTGTGCTCCCCCTCACACAGTTCATATTTTGGCGCACGTCTCCGGATGCTTCTTTTCTGATGACATCAAGTTACACGAAGTTTTTTTTTTTTAACTTTTGGCCAGGACAATGAATCTGCCTGCACATTACAACTTTTTTGAATGAGAAAAGCATAGAAACCCAGCCAGGAATGTGTTTCTGATATATTTTGACCTTCATAAACTGGGCTGACTCCTACGCGTAAACGGCCCCCTCGCTCTCCTGCATGTCCCGGTGTTGAACTCCTCTCACTTTGGTGCGCGGCTAAGGGGGCAGTAAATCTAAACTGAGACAGAGGCGGGGATGTTTGCTCGCTCTCTTCCTACACCCATTTGTCTAAATACTTTGTCCTGTTGGTGCATATTGCAGGCGAACATGCCTGTGTCAAGAATGAGGATGAGACCATGGCTGGAGAAGATGATCGAGTCCAACTCCATCGCGGGTCTGACTTGGGTGGACAAGGTGAGACGCTTATTTCCTCCTGCAACACATCGGTTCATATAGATGGTATTTATTAAAAACGTGGTCAGTGTAGTAAAAGAAAACACCTATTTACCAGATAGGGAAGAAATAGTTGCTCCCTCGCTGCCCACTCAGTAGTTGCATGTTGCTCTTAGAGTAGCAGGTTTAATGCTCCTGTTGGGATGAGTTTAGGTGTTACAGAGTTAAAAATAAAGTACTGTAATACACAGTTATAACTCACGTTTGGTCTCTGTATTACAGTGTCACTACTTTATCTGCAAGCAGGAAATGAGCCAAACATGAAATAAAGACATAAATATCATTGGCCCATGAGTTACATGTTCAAGTTTATCTCTTGCAGTATAAGTTACCATATGTTGAACTCAGTATTTCCTTTTATATTTTCCAGGATAAGACAATGTTCTCTATTCCCTGGAAGCATGCAGCTCGCCATGGATGGGAGCTGGACAAGGACGCATGTCTGTTCAAAGAATGGGCCATCCACACAGGTGAGCAAGCATGAATGTGCATGCTGACTGCAAATAATAAAAAGGTTTTGGGGAGGAGAAAGATGTGAAAACTAAACAGAATTCTGTCTGCAGGAAAATACACTGAGGGCCAGATTTGTGACCCAAAGACGTGGAAAGCCAACTTCCGCTGTGCAATGAACTCACTGCCTGACATCGAGGAGGTAAAAGACAAGAGCATCAACAAAGGACACCAAGCTATGCGCGTCTTCAGGATGCTGCCTGCCACCCCAAAAGCCAGAGGTGAGAAAACTGACAGGAAGTGAGCAAGCGTGTTTAAATATGAATTAAGAGTGGTCTGAAACGTCTGCCGAGCTTTTTTTCTAATTTTAATCATAAACTCAATCTTGCTCTACAAGAACTCTGTGAGCTGTTTAAGATGTACAGTGACCAAAATGTTTTTCTTTTGCCTGCACAGATAAACGAAGCAAGACAAAGGAAACAAAGCAAAGGAAGAAGGTAAATACTGTATTATGGCACACTCACACTGACCTATATAATTTAATGGCATCATCAAATAATGATATTTTAGGTTTGGTAGCTTTTGTTTGTAAAACTCACCGACTTTGTCTTTAACTTGATTCTGCAGGTCAAGCTGGAGGAGGATGCAGACTACAGTGATACTCAGTCTCCCATGGATGCATCAGTGCCAGAAGAAACCATGTCCACACAGGAAAACACAATCGACAGCACAGTGTACACAGAGCAGCAAGGTGAGGGAAAAAGCTGAAAAGCTGAAGAACACACTCGTACAATACAAACAAGTTAATAAATATATCAACACAAAATGCTTTTCCCTGTGAGGACATAAAGGAAGTGATCTCAGTCTTACTGTTCCAAGTGAAGTGAAGGCTAGCTTGGATTTGCCACTAAGATCTGGAGCACCAAGTGTACTCAATGCCTTTGTTTTCCATCCTTACAGATTTCTCATATATTGGTCAAGCCGAAGTTCCTGACTGGTCTTTGTCAGTTGAGATTGGGCCTGACAGCTTCCCACACAGTTTGGACCACAGACTGGAAGTGTCACCTGAACAGAGCCCCGGTAAGACAACAACACATACATTATACTCGCTAATAAATTATTCAGTATTTAGTGAAATTAGGTCAGTCTAAACAGATGGATCAGTACCATACTCACGTCCCCTCCTTTTTCTTTCCCCCTCTTTTCGATGTGATCTTCCAGATTACGACTATACTGACGACATTATTGAGGTAAGCATCTTTAGCTCCTATTCTTAATTGCATGCATTTTTCATTGACAGGAATACCCATGTTTGTCTTATTCTGCCTATTTGGCCTGTTGGCCAGTAAGATTGATTGCTTTAGAGACTGTTTGGTGAAGAAAAAGTAAAGTTTCATAAAATATAGTCGTACTCAGTCCAGTGCTGCTCTTTCAGATTTGCCAGCAGCTGGAGAAAGACACACATTGGATTGGAAGCAGTTTAGACGGCAGGGGGTTCCTGAACAATGAAGCATGCACCAGTCCAGGGAGCCAGTGGAGTGAATCTTCCTCAGGTAAATGTTGCTAGTTGTTGGCTCACATGCACAGCTGCCACTAAGTTCATCTGCAAAACGATGGCTATTGCTTCAACATTTCACTACAGCTTTCACTAAGCCCTCAAAATGAAGTACATATGGTCAGGCATAGGAAAAGCCACTTCGCTATACAGCAGCTGAAAACAGCATGGAAATCAGTATGAACCTACTTTCAAACACTGTAAAAAGATTCCATTTATGCATGGAGTAAATGTACTAACCGGTGGTTGGAAGGCTGTTAAAAGTCTGCCTTGAGATAGCATCAATCATTTCTAACTGTTACATACATTTTAATGACTGTTGGCTGTTATTAAAGGGGTACGCCAAAAATATAGCATTGCATAAACGTTTGGCAGCTCACAAGAGACTGATTAACAGAAAATGGTGAAAACTGATGCAGCATAGCTTGATACTACACGTCCCCTAATGTAACTCAGTAGCATGTTGAGTTAGAGCCTGTCTGCCGAGTAAATGTCACAGGGACCTCATCACACTTCAGGAAGCTCCCTTCAGACTCTAACTGCTTGAAAGGTTTGGCGACACCTCCTACTGATACTGTTCAACATCCTGACCTTGGTTTTCTTCTTTTGGTTTTACAGACGAAGTAGACGACCTGCCGCAATACACAACTTTGGGCTCAGACTTCACATGTCCTGCAGACGACTTCTGGAGCACCTTTTGCCCTCCAATACTGTGAGGGACAGGACAATGCTTTGACATTTTGAACTTTTATGAGGCTATTCCTGCCTTCCATCCTTCCCTATCTGAGCCATACTCTGCTGAATCAACTAATATCAACGCTCCAGTCTGTGACTGGCGGTGCCCACACTTTAGGCTACAGCATCACGCATTGCCTCCACACGTCGTGCAGTGGTCCCAGTTCGAGTAAATGCTCGTCTCCCTCAGCATTTATGTGAAGAAAAGGGGTACTGTTAAAGGAAGTGCTGTTCATTATCCATGTTTTTGGCTGGTTCAAAGCATTGCGTTCCTCATGTTTTTGTGATAATGGGATGTAACAAATCATAAATACATTTTACTCAGGCAGGGAACTGTCATCATCATAGCCTACTATGAATATCTACAGGACAGCTGCAACTTCACAAAGCTAATAGGTCTCTATACCATAAACTTACCATTTGACTGGTAGCTAATGTATATGAAGTACTGATCATAAAATACATTTTTCCGTTATGTGTTAAAGTGGATTTGACTTAGGGGTGACAGATAACCAAATGTGCTGGTGAAAGCTCTACTTCATTATCATGCAGTTTTTTGGTCTAAAGATAGTTGTCAAAGATTTCTGTATATAGCTGTTTATTTGTGTGTTTTTGTAAAATAAAAAAAAAATCTGTTGTTAAAACATGAGTGAACATGACTCGATTATAAACACAAAAGTTGTAAGTTTAAATGCTCTGCTGTCATGCAAACTAATGAACACTGGCCACTGCTTCAGTGGCAAGTTAAGAGTCTCACTGGAAAAAGTCTAACTTCCCTGATGAAAATCATCAATATATACAATACAGGATCACATTACGTATCCTTAAGTCATGTAACAGATGGTTCAAAGTTCAAAAGTACATTTAACATAATGCATCTGTTATTAATGCTTCATTTTTAACAAGGCAGCATACAGATTAGGCTGGATTTAACATTTTGGCCAAACAACAGTAATTTATATAAAAAAGGAAAACTAACTTTTCCACAAAAGAGCAGGTGGTGACCTCAGAGAATAGTAGTTGTTGTTACTGCAGTCAGTACTGTTAGTGACTAATGTGTGGTCTTCTGGTTGTTATTTTATTACTATCTATCTATCTATTTATCTATCTATCTATCTATCTATCTGTCTGTCTGTCTGTCTGTCTGTCTAACATCCATATATCTAATTAATATATATTTATGTGTGTGTGTTAACTGATTACCATTTTACAATAATAGTTTTATTTGTAAGTACAATCTTATGTATAATTAAAAAAAAAACAGATTAGATGGACTATACTGAAAATACAGGTCCCAAAGCACAATGTTAGTGAATCTGTATCAAAACCAGTTAACACCTGTGATTTCCAGTAAGGAATAATTACATGAACAAGGTTATAAAAGAACCTGTGAACACCTCAGCCTTCTCGGTTTTGCACCGTGACTCTGTTTGGTAAGAAATCACTTGACCAAGTATAAAAAGACTGAGACTTTATGAATGTGGGAGAGGGTGCAAGAGCATCAGCAGCTACTGAACAAAGTCTGAGATGCAGCTGCAGCAGTGGTCAGGTGGTACAGGAAGAGTCATGGTACCAATGACAGAAGACACACAAGTCATACTTGAAAAAATGACACCATGCACAATTTGCTGTTTGCTAAATGCTTCTGACTGAAGGACTGCCTGTGGAAACTGGTGTTTGAGTGACAGTGTGGAGGAATGCATGAAGTAAACCCCAAAGCAGAAAAACACTGCACTTTGTCAAACCTAAAAAGATGAATATTGACAGCACATTCTTCAGTCAGATGACACAATTTGTTTGGACCAGATGGAGTCTGACATGATAGGTATCTGCACCGTGCCGACTGTGAAACACGGAGGTGGGGAAAAACAGTGCAAACTATGACCTGTCCAAGTACAGTATGACCCCTGACTTAAATCTAATAGCATTTTAAAAGCTGAAGGTAGACCAAAAAAACCTCTTTGGCAAAGTGAGGCTGAAAAGAACCAAGTGTGAAGAGCGACGCATCTGTCCACAGATGTTTGCAAAAGGTTCAGATCTGCCATCCAAAATAAAGGTGTGCTGACTTTTTTGTAGTTGGTTCTTAAATATGAATCATTATAGTATAATTAAAGAAAAATGTCTATTTCAAATGCATTGGTTTCACTCTTTGGCTAAAATACAGCAGCATTAAATGCACAGGATTTATAAGTGCGTAACATTTCAGTAATATTGATCAGAGCTGACCTTTTGTTGTATATTTTTTTAAGTAATTACATAAATTACTTTTCCTTCCCTATCAGGAGTTTTAACGCTGTCTAAACAAAGAAACAGCATAAAAGCCAGGATGTAGATACAGTCGGCACTCTATCACATCATTTCTTTATATGAATTAAGTGAAGCCTTTAGAGGGAAAACCCACACATTTTCAGACTAAAAGTACAAACTATGGGTTTAGTTTATATGTATTTTTGAATCACAAAGGAATATGTCATGTTGTACATTTTAATTTTCCATTTTGGACCTTTGTACTTATTCTACTTATTTATTCAGCAGTTTTTCTTGGTCACGGCTTGTTTCCTAAAGGCAAGGTTGGTAATTAAGAAAAAAGTGCAAGAGAAAGCACAACAACAACCTAAGAAATCCCACACTTTCCTTCTGATTTCTCTCCAAAGACACTCTACCACTACATGATGCACACTGCAATGCGTGCTGCCTGGCTACTACTTACAGATTTGAGACCACATGCTTATGGTTATTAGCAGCTCCTAAATGCCATTACTGCTCTTTACCGAAAACTGTACTCTATGTGAAGTTAACAGGGGAACTAAAAACCAGTAGTAGCCTGGACACGCTTTCCACCGTCCTTTGTGATAAAGCATCCGAACAAATGACCTACGGCTGCTGCACAGTTTGATAAAGTGATGCACAGATGTACAGACACACAGCAAAGTAAAGCAAAACAAACAAAAAGAAAACAACTTTACAATTAATTGATGGATTGTAAAGTTTTATTATAATGTATGGAAAACAGCAGCACATGATACACTACTGAATAATAGCACCTCTGTGATTTAAAGCATGATTTTATTTCTTAAAACAACTGGCTTTACATGGTTCGACTCCTTTCTCTGCGTTTCTGTCACGCTGCTAACAAACAACAAGCTACTTATTAACTAATCAAGCAGACATCAGACAGATGCCAGTCTACTGTACTTTAAACAGGTACAATAACTGCAATCTTTTGTTCAGTTATATGATGTTTTATTTTATGTTTTTACTATTGCACTGTCTACAAAGTTCAAGTTTTCTGCTTCTGATTCTGTCGAACTGAAATGCGCTGTATGGATTTGGAGGTGCTGGATCCAAATATGACCTTTAAAACAGCTGGTTGGCTGTAGTTTGTAAGATACTTAGCCATTTATGTTGTACACCAACGTGCAAGAAACCAAGTACAACAGAGAATCTGGGCTGATGTATACAACAAATAGATGAGGTATGAATGTTGTAAACGCCTTACTTAAGTGACAAATGTGTGGCTCACTACCTGAGGCACTACACCAGCCTAATGTTTCATCTGTGAAGCTTGTTGTGCTAAAAAAAAAAAGTTTTTGTCATTAGATCCACCAAGAGCTTTGGTTACAGCTTCTGGTGTTGCTCAGTCTGTTTGGTCATTTTCAGTCAAAATCCATCAACTACCTTACAAACTAGTGCCAATCAATGACAGAATTATTAAAGATGGACTTTTTATTTCAGAAGGATTTTGGTTATAGACCAGTGTTACTTTTAAGTCCTTTAAAAAGATCTGGTCAGTAGCACTCCAGTGAACATACGACATACTGTATTAGAATTACTGTACATTAAAAGTTCTTAGATATCATGAAACAATACATTTATTGACAGTTTATGTGCTCACGTTCTGAGGTTGGAAAAGAATGGAAAAACTGTAAAACCCAACAAAAAGCAGATGTGAAAACTACAGATTTCATTTGTATGCCCATATTTGCTGAATGTTTATTTGCACAGTTCCCACAGTCTGCCTCCGTCTTAGTTTCAGACATGATTAGACACACGACCATCATGCTCCCTTCTTCCTCATTTTTCTGCAGACGTAGAAGTGGAGGCACCACAACCACCTTTAGAACTTTGCAGATTGTCATCCTGGAAGAAATAAAATAAAAGTATTTATGATTAAAATAATTTTTGTTGTATCTTTTAACTAACATTTAAATGTGTGGTAGACTATACATGTCCTTTGCAAGGAGGATGGTGCACTTTAATTTCAATTTGACCTGTGAATAGCAACTAAACCAGCGGTTAAGTTGGGCCACAGTGTGTTATTTACAAAGTGGTGCTAGCTAATGTCAGTACAAAACAAGTTTTACATTTATTGTTGAAAGCCATTGTTATGGCTGAGTGAGCGGAACATACAGCAAGCTACACCAGCAGTGATGAGGTTCCCTTGCCCTGAGCTAAACAAAACAAGCAATCCTGTCTTTGTTTTGCATACAACACACACACTAAAGAAAAGATCTGGGTTTGAACAGATAAGAATAAGACAGATGTAGGTGAGGTGGCTAACTTTAATATGTTTGTGTTAACTGAAGTACATTATATTTATGTGTCATTAGTAATAAGTCTTGTCTCTCATGTTTTTTTCTCTCTGCACCATAGAACAGAGGTATAAATCTGCTGCAACAGCAACCTTAGTCATGCCAACAACAGGGAAGTAGAAAATGCCTCCTGGGAAGTCTTAACTGCCACTTTCTTTGAGAACGTTGGTGCTGCTGACATACATCCCACACAACCTGATTTAGAGGCAGGAGACAGCTGCTGACAGTGGTGGTGACTGATGTTTGTGCTGGCCCTCCTTAACACTAGCTCATTGTGGCAGCTAAGCACTATTCTTCTAATTGTCAACAAACCCCAGAAACCGAGCGCAGATCATATACAGACATGTTTAATGTTTAAAAACTTCCTAAAAGATGAGGACTGAAGTTTTTAGTTACTAAAACAGGAGTAAGTCGTGCATCAGAGATGTGATTTTAAAAGTTTCTGGACAATAATGAAGTTCTGTGGCACAGAGGAGTAAGTGTTTGGCTAGATATTCAATACCTATGTGCTACATGTTGTTACATGTGACAGCAGACAACACATCTAACATGTTCAACACAAACAAGAAGATGGAGTAGGGAGAGAACCTGAGAGGGTGCTGTGTGTTTTGTGTGTGTGAACAGGGGGGAAACAGATATAGTATCTCTGGTGCTTTCCGCCTGGCGAGCATAAACTTCACTTGCTCATTTTAACAGCATGACACACTGAGTCACTTTACACTGAAGATCAGAATTGTTTTTTTTATGCTTTTGAAATGACAGAACTGTACAAGCAAGGTTACTTCCCCAGAATGACAGTTACATACACACCACAGTAAGCAGCCTGGTATTTCCCTAGTTTTTTCACTCTCGTGACCATGACTGATCACGCTCACAATTAAACACTATGATTAATACTTTTATTGCACAACATTGTATCAAAACTACCATGCTCTTTATCCAAAGTTACATATGTAATTTGCTTAATAAAGTTATTGTGGAAAAGTGTGTAATAAAGGCAATCCTAACTTTTGATGATTTCTCACAAGAACT